ACGTATAAGCGCATTAGCTTAGAGACAGAGGAAATCAAACTGATTTGCAAGCATGTTCATAACCACGTTTACAGGATTTGGTATAGCATCTCATTCGCAACTGATAGACGATTGTTTGTCACAATTACAGCCTTAGGAAAATGGTGGGGGCGTTTTTGACAGTGACTCAGGCATATTATGTCACATTTTTGACTCCCTGTTAGGATGTTTGTTATGGATTAGACATCCCGTCATTGTGCTGGTGTTGAAATATAGGTTGAGCTCATAAACTAATTACTTTTTTAAATAATCATAACATTAATATAAATATCTCAGAAAATTAAAAATAGATTTCTTATGCACATTTGTTTGCTTCACAGTAATGTATTTTAATGATTTTATTTGGATGTTTGTATGTATATATATATATATATATATCAGTATGATATATGAATCAGTGGCGTTCCGTCCATATAAGCTGCGAATGCTCCTTATACCCAGGCCATTTGAAAGTTCACCTGATAATTCATATAAACATGATTATAAGTTGATCCCTTGTCATTTGTAGGTGAGAGTGAATGTATAATCAGCAGTTGGTTGTAACTATGTGATTATAATTGGACTCAATTTACAGTTGTAGACAATTTCATTGTAATTTAGAAATTCTGCCCTGAAAGTGAACTTTCATTTAACAATGAAAGTTAAATGGCAGTGATTTGACTGGCCTGCCAAGCCCCTAGGAATGGGAGCGAGAGACAGACAGGGTAAGAATGGAAGAAAGCTTGATATATATCCCTGCCTTAATTGCCCCTGAACAAATTGTATTCCCTTTTTCTTTTATCTTTAGCCAGCATTTGTGCTTTTTACTGTTCTTTCGAGCAGTCAGGAATCAGGATCAGGGTGGCTGTGTACTTTGTATTGGGTAGTTAAAGTGTTAATAAAGCTTAGCATCAGTTCCCCTTAAGCCCATGGTAGTGGACTTTCATTACTGAAACACCTGAATTCTGATGATTCTCATCACAATTTTTCACTATTTCTTTTACCTTTTTTTTCATAGCATGCTTGGCTCATTAATTCACATTTTTTTTTACCTTCATTCTGCAAGTTGCTCATTAGTCGCTCTTTGCAGTCAGAATGATTGGCGGCCATTAATTAATGATCCTTGTTATGTGCTGTGTATGACGAATGTAGAAGAACTGCAAAGGATAATCTAATATTAAATCATATATACTGGTTATGTATACATACACTGAGCCCTAAATATTAGCATGCTTACATCAATCCATCATGGGTATTGATTAATGGCACAAACATTTTACTGCCTCTTACTTCTATACTTTAATGCAAATTTTTATTTTTATTTTTATTTGTTATTTTTTGTTTTGCAGATGAACATGGACATTTGAAAATATACCTGCCCAAAAAGCTGCTTGAATGTCTACCAAAATGCTCCACGTTGCCAAAAGAGAGACACAGGTGGAACACCAATGAGGTAAGGTCACCTCTCTCTGCCATCTGCTGCTGTCTTTTTTTAACTCCTGCTGACTTTATAAAGATAAAACCTTGTTTATTTTAAGCAGTGAAATGGACACAATGTGTTAATAGAAACCTCTCTAAGGATTCTGCAGTCAGTTCAGATATTAACAGCAACTGTGTGATTGCCTTATTTTTGTGGCAGGAGGAAGTTGCCTATTTTCCGTGCTGTGCTTGCAGAGGATTTTCACTCACCGGACATAGATTGGGTGTTTTAGGAAACAGCAGGTTCATAAAGCTTTCTGTATATACAAAGCTCTCATTTTTACATTTATGCAAATATAAATTTGCAATAGTTTATGATCTGCTCATAAAACATTTATGTTCTGGTATTCAATATTTTAGCTCATATTCTGTTGCTTTTTTGGTTGTGAATTGCACAGCAGTTTGTAAGTTAAAACTCCAATGTATATCATTTTTGGCCATCTGTTCCAGCATCACTTTTATTCACAGATGTTTTAATTCCCTGGAAATATAGACAGGATATGATTATTTATGTATTTATTTATTGATTTATTTTTAACTTGTGTGATGAAAGTAATCCTGCCCATAGTCATTACAGTGCTAAATCAGAGAAGAATATGAATTTTCTTCGACCGTCTCTTCATCTCAGTCTTCCTTCATTTCCTCTGAGCTCAGCTCAGTATGTCTGTAGTTGTGGAAAGCTTACTGGCGACAAATGTAACATTTTCAAGACTCCTTGAAAGTTTTTTCTGGGGTCAGAACACCGTGTGATTTTATATTAACAATTCAAGGAAACAAAAATATTTTAGGATTAGAATAATGCAAGTTGTTTCGCTCGGCTCAGTTGTTTATTGACTTTCAATAGACGCTGACATGCTATTTCAGACCCCTCTGTGCCACTGCATAGCAGCCTTGCTATCTAACATAGCCATATACCTAATAATCTACATATGAAAATGTGTTTTAAGTATGTTTATCAAAGCCTGAAGGCTTTTCAGACAATGTATCAAACAAATAAGAAAAGATAACAAGCCTCTTAGATTTTGGTATTGAAAATGAAAATGTAAAATGTTTTATTTGTATGACTGTGGGAGGAAAAATCAGAGACTGTTTGCTCCAGCTGTCCTTGACCTATAGGCCAGCCATTTTAAATTAGTTCATTTCTTTTCAGTGCAGCTACTTTATCATTTAATGGAAATGAGACGGTGACTTGCTTGATTTTCACATTTTATTTGTTGTTCGTGTTCAGTCTGTCGTGCGGCGCTGCTCCCTCTGTGCGGAGGCTGCGGGGAGATTGAAACTAAACATTGTTTCACTGCCTTAAGCTAGAGGGATTTTAAATGACTGAGTTTCTCCAAGGAGATTCATAAACTCATAGCTCAGTGAAGGTGATGCAGTTTTATTACAGTTGATCCCATTGAAGCAAGCATGGCTTTCACACATTAAGTGACAGGCGTCATCAGAGAACAGGAGACAATAGAAACTTGTGTGTGCATGTCAAGCTTTTTGGGGATTTTTCTTGTTTTTTTTTTAACTCTCCCCTCAAATTAATGACATCCTCTTGTGCAGGCTGGTAAAGAGAGTGTTGAAGAGCGCTTTGGTTTTGGTTTGGTTTTTAGTGAGCCTGCCTGCCTCACTCAGTAATTTCAAAACGCCTGCCATTGCCACATACATAACTCACATGTCACCTTTACATCAATTTCAGCTCTGCCAAAAGTCCCCAGTGACAAATCACTCCTCTTAAAGGGATATTTATGAATTGAATACACTGCTTTATCCCTCTGCGTATTCTTTATGGAGTGACAAGTGGCTTTTTTGAAAGGAAAGAGGTGTGGATATGAATGACAATGCTGAAATAGACATTGAAAGCACCAGCCGTTGAATGTTTGTGTCTTGTCAGATTTAGCTCTGAATGTTTTCCCTCTGTGGTTCTAGTAACCAGAGACTGAGTTTCGTTTTGTTGAATAGTTTGTCTTTGAAGTGCAAATACGGCAGTGTGGGATATGGTTGATTGTTTGGCTTTATTTCCATGTAATATGATGCAACATCCTGAGTAAAATGTGATATTTCTGAACTATGTATGTGCACTTGTCATTCAAAGGTTGTCAGTTTATATCAGGCATTCTGTGTGTTTGTACATATTTGTAGTCTGGTTTGAGATGATACAAGTGAACTAGAATATTGCTTCAGATCAGCGGCTGCCTGTCTAGTTGAAGCTGATGGTTTGACACATTTGACCTGCGTGCGCTTGCAGTCAAAAATTAATTAATGTGTTTGGAATTGATGTCTGCTCTTAATGTGGAATGATGTCATCTTTGTCCTAGTATGTTACAAAAGAAAGAAATCAAGAACTTCAGGAAGTTCTTTCGTGTTTTTCCCCAATTCTTTAAGGAAACAAAATAAAAATTTTAAATCAGTTATAAAATAAAAAAACCTAGATTCTGTATTCCTCAATCTGCATAAAAATGCTTGGAAAATGCAAACTCTAAACTCAGTACAAATCTGCAATAATGAAATAATATAACATTACCTGCATTCTATTGACTTCTAGGCTATATGTTACAAAGATTTCTCCAAAGAGAATCATTGCAATGATATTATGGTATTTCTTCAACTGCAGACACTTTTTTTGTCTTTTATTTTTTTTAAATGCCTTTACTTTTAGCTACTTCTAGCCTAAATCTTTATGTAAATATTTTATTTGATTTTTGTTTATCCTTGTCCCAGACTTATTATATTTTAAAAGGTTATATTGATCATCTAAATCTTCTCCTTGTATGATCTATGCAAACAGACTTGACATAATAACATTTAACATTTGGATGCTAAATATCCAGAGTAGTACAAGTTATAAAGAACACATTTCTGCTTTAGTGCCACTAAAGAGATGTGATCTTTACTGATGTATCTGTGGGGTAACTGAAGACAAAAGCAGTTGGAGAAACACTGCTTTAGATTAATGTTAGCCACCAACACTGCATCAACACTGCAGAGAAAAGGCCACTGTGATGGTGTTTTCATGTTGCGTGCATCAGAATGGTCTGCCCCATTGGTTGGAGGGAAGACGGCCTTCCCCAAAAACAAGGGCATTTGTGTGTCATGTGTGCCAGGCAGACACTGAGAGAAGTGCATTTATTCAGTCGCAGAACGACTGAGAACGGGAGACGTTTCAGACGCGCGCTCCTCTTCACTTCAGCGCCAGGCGCGAGTCAAGCGAGCGCGGAAACGGTACTGTGCTCGAAGCGCGTACTCTTCAATTGCACGCACAAAGGCGCCGGCGCGCTGTAGCCTGTATCCTTTAATATCAAAGCGCGAAATAAACTACGTGCATGCAATGCCGTGGTCAGGTAAGTCATGAAGTTACCAAAAAGGCGATTAAAGCTGCCTTAAAACTGTGCATGCATGTAATATCTTTTATATGAGTCACATTTAAGAACATGTCTCTGAAATGGTTTTCAAAACTGTCCTGGACCAGCCCAGCACTGTCTCACTCATCTAACACACCGATTTAACTCGTTAGCTAGAGACTTAGCGGGTCAGAAAAGGTAAAAAGAGAAAATATGATGCATGCCAGATCCGCGTCACGTTCAGCAGCGGCAGCTCTTAAAGAAATAGCAGCCAAAATAATCTAATAACCAGCTGCTGTGATGTCTATTAATCAAAGGACAAAGAAAAAAAAAGAGGAAAAAAATTACTTTTATAGCTTTAAGGATTCATCTATATTTAATTTAGTGTTTGATCATTTAAATTCTTCTGCTGAAGAGCACAGGTAAATATTACATTTATTATAATAGGTTTATGTGAAGATTGTTTTAAGTTCACTTAAATTAGAAGTTATTTTTTAAAGTTTAATAAATGTTAAAATTGATAGCTCTCAATTATACTGTAATGTTGAATGGCTATAGTCAATGGTTAAATATTGGG